GAGTCACTATTCGTTGTTTGAACAACATACATATGTATAACTAATGGAAATATAATGTGATATACTTGTTATGATAGTAAGTGGATTATATGTATGATATGATATGTATATGATATCCATGTCAGTAATATAATTACTAATTAGTGACGTCTTTATTTTTTATAATATAACAATAAGTTTAACATTAGGCACGATATTTTTCTCCAAGCCACATGTTTACCAAGCCATTCATTTTGTATCCCGGCCCCGACCCAATATCCTGTGGATGTATATTTATTTAACATATCATATCAGCATTAGCTTGATATATGCTCGCTATTTTTACATCTGATTTATGAATGTATCACATTGAATTGTTATGACAAATTCTTAGCTACATCTATTGTTATTCTTCAACGTTTTGGTATTGATTACGTGGTTAAAGAAATCAAAATGGGGATATAATTATTGGGTTTTTGTAGAAATATGATTCATTAATAAGCGGATCACGTATAATTTATTTTACATTATTAAGTCTATTAGAAAATAGATAATCCGTAGTTTAAATAAAATGGTTTTCCTCGGAAGTAAATCCACGAGCTAAATGTATATTACTTGACCTAACAATAAAAAATATAAGTCTAGTTCGATAGCTGATTAAGAAATTGCTATATTTAAAATCTTCATTAGACTTTTTTTGCAAACATTTATGATCTTTAAAACATACTTACATTATATGTCTTAGTAATATCAAATACGGTACCAAATTTATTGAAATTTGGTAATAATTTATTTTCATTATCAGTCTTTTTAAAATTTGATTTATTTCAGACTAGATTTATCTACTTCTATACAAGATCTTACGTTTGAAATATTTATAGAACAAACATTATTTGTGTCCCAGAACTACGACTACTAAACTACAAGTAATCATAAAATAGTTAACCTGTTATTCAGTAATACACAATGTAATTCACCATTAATAATATAAATAGGGAGAGAATAAAGTAAGGAAAAAACATTAATAAAAATTATATGAGCATTTGGGTATTTTGCTATAACGACAATTAAATGTAAGCTCACACTTATAAGTAGTCGTTAAATAAACTTTTCGTAGTGACGTTTTCTAATCGCTTCTACGTATACCAAAACACCATATTTCATGTGCCCGGGGCGGGTAAGGAAGATGAGTTTTTTACGCCTTGCCACACATGCCAGCTATATCGATTATACATTATAATATAATCGCTGAACATAAAAATGTAACGAATAGTATGATCTTCTTCTACCTGGCAATTTCCCAGCTTTATCCAGATCTGCCTTACATGTTGTGAATAGTTTTGGCTAATTGTTTTTACGGCCTGCCTGACATCAACCCTCTTTGGGCATTAATCAGTGATGTCTAAATACTCTTAGAAAGTACATACGACTTTGAAAAATCATATTGGTACTTGGCAGGGCCAGGATCGAACCCACGCCTTCGTGCATGAGAGGCGGTCCTTTTAAACACTAGGCCACCACTGACTCACTGATATATCTATATAACTATTTGTGTGTTTTTGATTAATATTGTACTATAATATTATTTAAGGTTTCAAAATATAAGTAAACGATGTTAGTATTCAATTTATTCGTCAATACCTGCCTTATTCGTGTTATTTATCAGGTAGGATGCAAAATCAACACATTCCCATCACGCACTACCAATACCGCGTACGATTGCCTAATATATTATATGTCGTGTGGTGATATTTTTCCATGTGATAGATGGGTAACGGCCTGGGTTAGTGATGCTAACTAAATTATAAATGGAAAATTTTAAAACATATTATGATTGTTGATAAAATGAGGACTGCCAAAGAAATACTCGTTTTAGATTGTATTCGTATTTTATATAAGTGATAAATCTAGTTTAAATTAATTTAAATAAGCAATCCTTACAATATTTTTTTTTATATTCGATATATTTTTCATATATGAGTACCTAGTATGACTATGTGTTTTGTTTAACTTTTTATTATATAAGCCTTGAACTTTCCTTATAATATAATGGTATCAAAAGTAGAAGTCTTATTGATATACCGAATATTATAGAAGTTACCTGAAAAATAAGCAGAAAAATATACTTACATCATATACCAAGTAGAACCTCATTTCAAAGTCAGTATTTAATAAAAATTAGGTTCAGATATATACTAGATGAATCTTATTGAATCAAACGACAAGAGAGACAATATCATTCTCAATATAAAATTTAGTATAAGATTAAAACTATGAAATACCATAAAAATATACCCTAAAAGTACAGCCCGGGGTAACTCATTCATTGCTTCTTATATCCGGTTATCACCAGTTTATCATACGCCCGGGGGTCACAGTTACAGTGAGCTTAAAATATAACCTTCAACCCTTAAAGTTGATTAAATTGATGATATTCTCGGGTATTTTATCCCTTACTGGGACTACTGTAACTATTATACACACACACAGACACACACACACACATACATACACACACACACATATAGGTATATATATAATATATTTCGAGTACAAATATCAAATCAGTCTTACAGTCATAATAAGACTAATACAATCTTTCAATGAAATTACTTCATTTTTAATTACAATTAATTCCGTACTGTTTTAAGTTATTGTTTAATTTCAATATTACGGAAGATTATCGAAGACAAAACTGTTACCGATTTCTGAAATACATATATATGTGTATACATGCTCAAATTATCATACATATAGGTACGATATGCAAACAACGGCAAAAAAATACGTACGTTATGAATTTTACGTTAAATCTATCGTAACGTAATTACGTTTATCATAACCATTGAAGGAAGGCAATCATCGGATATCTCCCTAATCCCTTAAAAGGCGTTCTTTATAATTTTCTTTCGCCCCGGGTCGGGTGCCGAAATGCAAAAAAAGGAATCCCCATTCCACTGAATGTATTGAAAGCCTTAAAATATACAATGTTACAATAATTCAAGCATATTTATTTTATTTCATAATTATCAATATTTTATTTTTTACAAGTATAAGTTCTTAGATGAACATTGAACATTCACTTCTTTTGTAATGAATCAAAAACGTAAAATGCTAGATAACTTAAATTCCTTTTTTATAAAATTAAGATATAAAGAATAGTTGGAGGGAAACAAAAATAGTATCATTTTTAATATCGATAAGATAAATGAAAGTTTCGTATAATTAACATAACTGGCTAATTTTGTTTCACAAAAACCTTCAATTCCTTTTCGCAGTAATTCACAAATGTACATATCTCATAGGTTTGCAACATCAAAATATACTCTAGTACAAAAGTCGACTAATGTGAAATAAAAACTCTCCAGGCGCTATAAAGAGTACAATTGATTTATAACTAACAGCTTACCCAAATCCATTTGCAATTTCCCACAACTATACCAAATAAAAGGAATTCCTAGTACAAAAGGGAAACCTGGGAAAGGGATATAAAAAATATAATAATTCAAAATGGCGTCTGGCCACTTAATAACTGGCTGACACCATTGGGAAATATAATTTAATTTTTCTTCTACAGCATCTCTTTCCCTCTTAAAGGGTAATATCAGCTGTCTCTGTCTAGCATTTAACTGATGCTCCCACCTCCTCCTTCGAGATTCTTCCATTTGTTTGGGTGGTTCTCTGTCACCCAGTTTTCTGGACAAGAAATATTTGCCATATTGTGTTTAGATGATTTGTGTAACGCTCGAACATTTACTTCGATAGTTTATCGAATTGTATTCTTAAAAAAATATTTATAAATATCATTGTTCCAAATTCAAAAACCATAGGATTCAAAATATTAAATAATATTTAATTAAAGTTTATCTTTGCAGCAACAATGAGTTCTTTTTTTAAATCAAGTTCGTCAATTGTTCAAACATTCGTACACAAAAAGACAACGTTGTATTACGTCTGGCTAAGGCTTATACAAAATTGCAGGGAGTAAAATTTAATCCTCTTAAACGGGATCTTTGTTTTGAGACAAAAACCATATTAGAGTGCGCCGTGAAGAGCAGGTGCGAGTAAATATTTTTAATGTTGGCAGCGCCGTCCATAATAATACAACCTCCCCATGTATGATGTGAATGGGTCTCACATCATATTGTATAAGTATATGAAGTTATTTAATTTTTTTCCATTTTGTTATTATTAAAAAGCTGTACTTAGTATCCTTTTAGGTTTAAACATTTTTTTTAAATACTGTAACAATTTTGTAAATCCTGATCTTAATATACATATTTGATAGAAAATTTTCAATTAAATTATGTTCGGAAAGCACATAGCTGACTTTTTATTTAAGGCAATTTTTTTTCTTCATTACGCCGTTTCCCTTTTTAATTGATTAATAATGCTTAAAATCGTTTCTCTAGGTTAGATATCTTATAAATTGTTTAATAAATTTCTAGATGATAGAATTTAGCTATGAACATAGTCATAATATAAAGGGTTATAAAAATTGACTCCTTTTTCCTATAAGCGCCATCTAACGGAATCAAAGAAAGATTGGGCGCCAAGATCTTGGCTACAATATTTTGTACAACAGCATGTCTCAGTTCTTCCCCATTGTTCTAACGCTTGTTAACAGATGGCGCTTTAAAGATTGTAACGATAAATGTATTAAACGAAATAAATCTTATTTAAGGACTACAATTTTAGTATAGAGTATATTATGATATATAATATTATTAAATAAATAATTTAGTAATATATTCAACGAGATCAATTCATAACACAATTATGTAACACAATATAAAATAAAATCTTATTGTGTAACAGTTGTTTTTAAGAAACGTAATTCGTCATTAGAAAGACTTTTATTAGTGGTTTTGTAAACAGTTCTTAAGGAAATCCACTTTATCTCGTTATATCTTATTATTATATTATGATGTTTATTTAGAAGTGATATCAATCATTAGCTAGAGCAGCACTGTCGCAGTAGGCCGCATAATCATTAGTTTTTCTATACCTGTTAATTAAAAATGAAAAATTCCAGTGTTCCAGTGTTACCGATTTATTTTAATGTAGCTGAGTATTGTTTATTTGGTATAATAGTTGGTGTTATTGTAGGAATTATAGTTTATTATGTATTCGTTAACAATAAGTACAATACAGTGTCTGGATTTTTGTTTGGAGGAAAAAATATGTCTATCATTTCTATATCGTTGGCCCTTACAGCAAGGTATGATTTTTTTATAATTTTGTTTTTAATTTTTTTCATTATACATTTATACCTAATATTAAAATTTAAATTCGTTCATAAAAAGTTTTATGTGTTGTTTCTTTATTATTCTTATGTCTAGGTTTTACCTCTCCTATTTTGATACGTTTATTATTTTTGAAAGTACATACATACTCCCGACGTTTCGGTTACTTTGCAGTTTGTAGCTACCCTTGTCACGGTTAAAAAATAAATAAAAAAACGCGTAGTATATGCATCCGAAAATATTATTGTTATTTAAATGAATAGGCGCGAAAGTCTTGTATATCATGATGAGAGTGAATTATTTTATTGCTAGGAACAATTAACACTTACACAATATAATATATATATCGGCGCTACCAGCTTTAATAACGGATGCGACTTGAAAATAATTAGAGGCTGCCATCAATTCTTATTAAACCTCATTAGTATTTATGATTATTGTTAAAAGTAAAACGAAATCAAAAGAGAATAGAATTATGTTTGAATCAAAAATATGACGTCTGGACTCCAGACTAGGGAATTCAGAATTGATATTCGTAATTCAGAGTTCAGGGAGTGTGTATCATTGAAGTATGTTATTGTGAAGAATCTTTGAGAAATACAGGAGCATTAAGAACAATTGCAGTTTCATTTTAAAATATCATGCAACGCTCTAGAAGAAGTAACATATGTAACGTCAGCGAGGCTGGCGTCCCTCTCTTTAAAATCAACGAAATGTGTAATAAATCCGATATCAGAAGTGGGATCGCTCTCGTGATCATGCCGGTCTTATAAATCCTGGTCCAGCTGAAGAAAATAACCATGTGGAGAACCTGCGTACTGAAGAACGCTAAAAGAAAATTTTTTTCATGCCATTCATTGATGTCAATAACGCAGAGCGTGTGCAAACGTTTACAAATAAATCAAGGGATAATATTAAAATTACTAAGAAGATCATTTTTATCATCGTTTGACCCCGGTGGTAGTGTGTGTCTTTGGGAATGGTGTCAACACATCTACATGGCTATAAATACGTAGTAAATCAGGAACCATGATTCTGAAATGAAAATGAAATCTTTAAAAGGAGTGAGCTCAAATATGTGAATACGATTGGAAGCCACGTAGTATGGATATTAAGCGGAGATATTATGCGACGATGTGGCGCTATAACTGAGGCAAGACGGGCACGTTCTAACTGAAGGTTGAGGCCATAGCGGGCTTGACCAAATACTAATACACATCCTGAGTTTTCAGATACCAGCTCCTCTCAACAATTAAAAGAACCTGGCGCGCCGAAGGAAATGATTACTCCTAGTTGCTTCAAGTATGGTTAACGAGGCTACTTCGCGCTGCGCTGCCCCAGTGTTGAATTCAAAGCCAATTAAGCATGGACCGAACGATGCGTGAATATCTGTTCCGTCCAGATATGGTTCAGCTCTGGAGTGAACCTGTGAGAGGTTTTCATGTTGCTTCGACTCGGGTACCGAATGTTCTTTAATGAAATAAAAAAAAAAATTCTTGAAAGATAGATTTCTAAGTAAAGCGCAATATAATAATACAATTGCATTAGAAAGTGTAAGTAACGCTCGCATTAAATGTTATATCTAAATTCTTTAAACAAAGTTATTCAGTAAAGTGAGTTTTCCATGTTGTGAATTCATGTATTTTCAACGACGTTATGATTAGACAGGATCTGCTTACATTAGGGTATTCTATAGGGATTAAAAATAATGTCTCATTCTTAAAACAAACAAGATTGGAACTGAAAAATCATTTGAATAATGTCATAGAGAGAATTAAATAAGAATACGGTGTCTGATAGATATCCTTTGCCACTTATTTCGAATCAAAAATGCTTTCATTTCGCCGCGACAACAGACCATTGGTTGAAGGCTAAACAAGAAATAGATAACGAAATTAATTTTATTATCACGAAACTAGAGGCAAACTATTTTAATAGTGATATCTTTAAAACTTACGAGATAAGACGCGCTCTTCTTTTTCGGAAATAATGAGAGCTCAATGTTGCCTTTAGTGTGTAGGGAATTTCCGTGAGCTGATCTCGTGTCCATGGTGTATTCTCAAGAGAATCTGTACCATGAGATTCTGTAGGGAAGCCTTGTGGAGCCGTGAGGAGACAAGTATTACACCATAGATCTGGAGAGCGTGACCTCTGAGCTAATCACGAGTTACCCTTAAGCTAACCACGGGTCCTTGATGTATCCGAAAGAGAACCATGAGATTACGTAGGGATGCCTTGTGGAACCGTGAGAAGACAAGTCTACGCCACAGATGTGGAGAGCGTACCTCTGAGCTACTCACGTATTACCCTTGAGCTAACCACAGATCCTTGCTGTATCCTTGAGAATACCATGAGATGACGAAGAGCGGCCTTGGGAAACTATGAGTAAATATGAAGTCACTCAATCTATAAGAAGTTACATGATTTTGATATCAAACAGCCGGCGCCACGGCTTTATTTATAATCGACTGTAGACATACCCTTCACAGTAATATTAACACGTCGGTCAACACACACAGCAGTGCCACTAAAAAACGATGTTATATTTCAAATGATAGCATAATTGACTCTAAATTTCTAATCAAATACACCTATTGCGAGTACAGCTAAGTTTTGTTCCATTTCTGCTAACCGTGGTCAAACGTTTGAATCATGTTGTCGATGGGAAAAGGATATCACGCCGAATTTAAATTTAAAATCAACTGGTAAATTTAATCTTAATAAAATGCATGATTTCAGGGGTGCGTTATACAAGAATCAATGGCAAATAACTTATCCGGAAATAGAAAACAAATCGTCAACTATTTGCGAGGATTGAGGCCGGGCTCTATTATTCCTATAAATAGTATTATGTAATTACAGGCATCAGCGTACATCTGACAAATTTAGTATCCTTGACGATGTTATGAACATACGAATTCAATCCGGCTTTAACAGTTTAGATTACAATTTGACAATCCGTCCGTGGATATCGAAGCAACACATTTAAAACAGGATGGTCGAGGCGGAGAGAAGATAAAAAGTTGGATTTTAGAGATTTCGAGCTAAAATTTAAATAATTTCAGAATGGAGATTTAATATAAAAAAAAAAAAATATCACAGAAAAAGTAATAGAAACCGAGGAACACTTTGAAATGTGATTCGTGACCAGCCAGACGAAGTTCCACTGGAGTGACGAGAGAGTATAAGTAAACGAGCAGCAAGGTAGACTGTTCGACTACCTAATAGTTATCCGGTGAGCGTATCTCATTTTGTTCAATTTACTTCATTTCAAACGCATTACATATGTCGTAGATAAAAGTGTGATTTTGAAACACTTACTTTGAGATATATTACTATAAAATTATTAAATTATTATTATTACTATAAAAGATGCCTTTGATGGCGGATCCGAACCATAACAAAATAATAATAATAATAAAATGGTTAATAAAATAAAATTGTTGTAGACGGGTGGAGACGTCTTACGACAAATAAATAAAAACAAAATGTTGTAGGCGGGCGGAGACGTCCTATGACAAATAAATAAAAAAAAATGTTGTAGGCGCGCGGAGACGTCCTATGACAAATATGTTATGAATGTTAGTGTGATGCCCCCAAAGCCATGTAGCTTAGATAATTGGACGTGATATTATGACCATCTCAAAGTTGTGTTGTAGTAAACAACGTTACCCATACGATCAAAAAAAAAAATTTTGATATTCATAATTGTAACAATATAAAGTTATCTAGGGTTACTGTGGAAGTACCTAGACTACAAAAGCATTTATCTTTTATCACAGAGCAAACATCAGTATGACCGTATCGGCATGACTTCGGAAGATGAAGCATCAATTCTTGATCCTGTCCCATCTACTTTACGAGACGCGCGACTGGTCCAAGCACATAACGAAAACCAACCAAGAAAGAACACATAACCAGGCAGGTGCAGAGCACGCACCGCCTGTCAGAATGGCCGTATCGGCGCTACCAGCTTTAATAACGGATGCGACTTGAAAATAATTAGAGGCTGCCATCAATTCTTATTAAACCTCATTAGTATTTATGATTATTGTTAAAAGTAAAACGAAATCAAAAGAGAATAGAATTATGTTTGAATCAAAAATATGACGTCTGGACTCCAGACTGGGGAATTCAGAATTGATATTCGTAATTCAGAGTTCAGTGAGTGTGTATCATTGAAGTATGTTATTGTGAAGAATCTTTGAGAAATACAGGAGCATTAAGAACAATTGCAGTTTCATTTTAAAATATCATGCAACGCTCTAGAAGAAGTAACATATGTAACGTCAGCGAGGCTGGCGTCCCTCTCTTTAAAATCTACGAATCTGTAATAAATCCGATATATATGTATGTGTTATGCAAATAATTTTACATAAGAATACGGTATGATGGTTACAATGTTTTATTAGTATTAAAGAGATCCAAGATATCAATTGGGTCATAAAATATATTCGAAATAAAAATATTAATCTTTTAATATCACGAGACCCTGGCGTGTAGTAGTTTTACGCCTTTTGTGATTTTTCATCCATCAAAAAAGTCCTTTAAATTATTACAGATAAAGAATCCGGATATTCTTATATTAATACAGGAAATTGTTTAAGTACAAATCTAAATCCTTAAACTAACATCGCATTCGTGGTTGACATTCTGTCAATATTACACGACAAAAGATAACGATTGTTGCTAAATTTTATAGAGAATATGTGGTTTGTTTAATTTTGAAGAGTCTATTTATTTCAGAAATAATGCTTAAAAAGAAAAATTGTGTTAGGATTGTTGACTGCGATTGAAAATTTGCATCCTTTTCAATAAAGCAGACAAAACTTCTATTATAAATAATTATAGTGTACAATCGTTTTTTTTTTGCATTCGTATCCAGAATAGCTTAGTGAGACTACGTCAAGATATTATAAACAAAAATCTAAATGCAAACTGATGTATGGTTTTTTACTTCGTAAGAAGATTCAATATAGATTTTATTTATTGGAAGCATTCATCCATAACTGATCAGTTTATTTGATAGAAAAGAAATAGTTTTTCATGTAATGAAGAGACATTTTTTTAATGGATCAAGGTGGTTACCGAACACGTTAGTATACACTTGTACTGGTACATTTGAATAATATCTGGAAAGGTTAAAATAATGTATTTAGGACATATAAGGTGACTCTGACGAAAACCAACCAGTCAAAGGGAGGTCGGATTTGTATGTATAGTAATATATAGAAATGAGGAAAAAATCATGTTTGTTCTATGGGAGCCCTTTGAAATATTGTTTTAGTAGTTTTTGTTATGTTAGCATTATTTGTGACAAGTTTCTAGCTATCAATCACTGTTTATATAATGCAATGTGGATGTAGATGGACATACGTACGGAGAGCATATTTCCTGTAATGGTTTAATGGTTAGCCTAACGGAACCTTAATAAAATAGAACTTAGAAATTAAATTTTTGTTATTTTGGCCCACCCTTAATTTTGTAATGTTTTTCGTTTGAAAGTATTGTTTTGATAAATGTTAGAAATAAAGTCGTTAAATAGTTTTACACTCTTTCTAGTTTTTGAATCGTGATATCGCAGTGGGTCTTAGGAAAAAGGTGTGAAGACATGTATGACCATATAGGCAATAACTACCACTTCTCTCTGATCTACAATTCTTGACTTAAAATTTCATTATTGCTTAAAATGGTGAAAATCCCTCTCTTGTAACCTCAAACGTTGGAAAACCTCCGTATATTTTTTTTGACGTGTGACCTGAGAATTTTTTAAATTACGTTTATTTATTTACTTACAATAATTCGATAAATTATCAGCTGGTTGCTTTTTATTGTAATTTTCCTCCCTTGGTTCGGTTTTTCAAGAAGTATAAGTATATCTTTCGTAGTTTAAGTTTTTTGTTGGCTTATAACTATTTATTGTTGGGTTTTGACCATGTAGACTTCCATGTGGTAAATAATATTTTTTTACCTTCAAACATACATATGTCTATGTTTTAAAGTCACAAAATCACCTGTATGTGTAAGCATAAATTGTGTTAAATTTATTTAACACGCGGAATTTAAATTAAGTTTGTATTTAATTTTAGAATGAATTAATTATTATAGGGAATTTGAATATTTTCATTAAAGTGAATATTTTCGACAATATCCTGAACACTCGATAGATATGGCTTTTGTACTTGTATTTAACTTTAAAAAAGAAGTTTATGCTAAAGACAGTTTTCATGGATCATAACTGAATTAATATATTTTATACCATACTCTCTTAGTTTTTTATTCGTAAAAAAATAACCATACAGTCTTCCAAAGAAAAATCAACTTTAAGTTATGTAATAAAAGCATAAAATGCCATACACAGTTGTTTAACAAATAAATAAAACAATATAAAGATTATATTATGAAGCGTGTAAAATTGATTATATTTTTATTGTAAGATATTTTGTTATTTAAATCTTTAATCTGTTTGAAACTGGAAATTGCATATTTTCAAATAATTTAGTGAACATAAGACTAATGGTTTAGTGAAAATCTTTTTCTAATGTTATTTATTTTGGTTATTGAATACAACAAACAAAATTGTCCCAGTGAATAGTTTTTCCATGAAAGTTATGAAATATTTTTATTATGTTTAAGTATAAATAATGAAAATACTAAGCAACTCATTGTTCATACTATACCGACTTTCATTCATAAATTCACTTCTGGCAAAATATCGGTAACACATTTTGTATTCTATTTGTCCTTGCATAATATGTGTAGATCCAATATATATGGCTTATTTTTTTCTATTTTTGACTTGATACTTCTGTCTCCCATTCTACGAGTGGGGAGGTAGAATTAAGTCATAGGTGGTGGACGCACTATCTGTAACAGCATATTCATCCTTTCCTTGAAAAGGCCCAAATTATGATTCCATGGAAACACAGACGTTGTAGTTTTGCTAATTTAATGTTAAAAGTAATGTTTCTGGCCTAATGGCAACCCTATTTTAGCATTATAAATATGTATGTACATTATTACCGCGTCATCCTATTCAATACTTTTCCTTTTTATCCGATGAGATTCGACGTACAGACATAAATCCATTAATTTAAACATGTAATAATTCTATAACGTCTTTTTTTATTATTTCTATCTCAGATTTCTTATGAGTCTGTGACATTTTTGCTCAACCAACATTGATTTGTCAAATATTTGTACAAATTTTGTCGGTAGTTGAATAAAGTCAACATAACCACATGACATCCAAAGCGGTAAGCCAGAAAATTAAGAAATCGATGGCGGTAGATGATAAATAACAGGGAGTATGTAGTTTTTTAAAATAATAATATACGCGTAGTAATCCGAGTAACATAAGTTTAATATATATTAATACTCGAGAAAGTCTAAGATCCCATACTAGCAATGTACATATAAATACATCTATTTATTTTTTAAAATATTATTAGTGACCAACGTTAACCTTGAAATTTTTCCATCATGTTTATGAAAATTATTTATAATACAATATTTACAGAATGATGAATAATTTTATTTTTATATTACGATAGTAGAGAAGTAAACATAATAATACAATGAACTTTTTCAGTCACCTTACAAGCATAACGTTACTCGGAGTTCCAGTCGAGATATATCTGCGTGGTACTCAGTACTGGGCGTCGGCTTTATCACTTATCTTTGTCACTTTCTTAACAGCTGTAATTTATTTGCCAGGTAAATATTAACTGAATGATGCTTCATAATTATTTGTTTTCTCTTGTTTAGTATCAAGTTTGCTTTGTCTTAGAATCGAGCAACATTTTATGTGATTGATTTCATAATTCCTAACACGTTATTTGATGTGATGATAATTTTAATTTTTCAGTTTTTCACAGGCTGCAGTTGTCTTCGAGTTTTGAATATTTAGAAATAAGGTTTTCGACTCACATACGTACTATAGCAGCGGTTCTGTTTGTTGTTAGTAAACTGATGTTGCTGCCGATTGTTCCCTACGTCCCACTATTGGCTTTCAGATTAGGTATTATTTTTTCTTAATATTAAATTATATATATTTAAATTAGAATATACATACAGGGAATAAGTAGTATTTTTACTAAAATAAAGCCCTCGTAATATTATATATTCAAAAAATATTAGTTTCATTTAAATGAATAAACTCGCGAAAGTTTTAGATCTCATTAAATTATATAAATTTTCATATATTTTATTTAGTAACTATAATGTCTTAGTGAATATAATTTTCTTACTGACCACATACCTATACATATTATATAATCTTTTATTTGAATCCTATTAATGTTTCCAAAAAATCTATATTTCAGTAACTAACGCGGAAGCGAGCCGTATTACTGCCGCTTTATGCGTTGCTTGCTCGACATTTATAGCTGTGGGAGGTTTACGAGCAATAGTTAGCATCGGAATAGTGACAACATTTTTAGCATTTGCCGGTACAGCGTTACCGAGTGGGCTGGCGTTACTGCCGATGGGATTCAAGAAAATGTGGGATGTCGCTAATCATGGCAGTAGACTGGTTTTATACGAGTAAGTAAAATAATTCTAATATGGAAATAATTTCTTTTCATATAACAAAATAACTATGGTATTATTGAGTTTGTATACTAACAGCGATAAGTGATATTTTGTATTGTGCATAATATATTTTATTCTAAACAAGCTATGTATGGGGTATAAAATCAATTACAAATTTTTTTTTGCAGCCCTGATCCTGAAATCGCTCACCACACATCTTTCTTTGTTGTAACTTTAGCACTAAGTACAAACTGGTTGTGGAAGATAGCACTAAGCCAGTCTTCATTGCAGAAGTTATTAGCCGTTCCTACCATAAGCAAAGCCAGAATATGCCTTACAATATCCTGTTTTGGTGTAATATTAATGAAACTGTTATCTTGTTTCCTTGGACTAGTTTTGTACGCTTGGTTTGCTGGCTGTGATCCATTACTTACAGGACAAATAAAAAAACACGAACAGGCAAGTCGGAAACCTATTATTTTATACTAGCTTTCCGCCCGCAGCTTCGCCCGCGTGGAGTTCGGTTATATCGCGTTACCAAGAGAACCTTTCAAAAGTCTGGGATAAAAACTATCCTATGTTCTTTCTCAAAGTCAACTCCATCTCTGTAACAAATTTCATTAAAATCAGTTCAGTGGTTTAGGCGTGAAAGCGTAACAGACAGACAGAGTTACTTTCGCATTTATAATATTAGTAGGGATTTTAATCCAAAATGGTTGTAGTGCCGTATTTTTAAAGTAATTTAAATATTTATTTCGATTAAGTGTGTCCACTAATGCATTATTTTGTTTGCAGCTGGTACCGCATTTTTTAAATAATTTATCAACGATGTTTCCAGGAATATGTGGCATCTTTATTATATCTATCTTTAGTGCAACAGCATGGTGCGTTTATAAAGACACATTCGTAGTTTAATGACTCTGAATATTTGCTTAAAGATAATAATGTTGTTTCACAGTTGTATTGCGTCTATCATTAATTCAGTGTCTGGGGTTGTATTTGAAGAATTCATAAGACCGTGGATGCCAGAGAGTACAAATGAAATAGCTTGCTGTAGAATTATGAAGGTATAATATTATATACATAGAATAAGCATTGGTAATGTAGTGGTAGTGTAGTAGTTAAAGAACTTTATTTCTCAAAAAGAACATATAATGCTCACTTAAATGAGATATATTACATAATTTAATTTAATTAACAACATGTAATGTACATGTACAAAGGCATTAATGAGTTTGTATTTGCAGTTTTAAATCACAAGTAATCAATAGTACTTGTTTTTGGTACTAAAATACATGTTACCCTATATTTCTAGTTTCTCTGCATAGTGGTTGGTCTTTACTGTGGAACTGTAATATGGTTAGTGCTGGAATTAGACCGTCTGCAACATGTAGCTTCGGGCGTTACTGGAGTTACAGCTGGAACACTGTTGGGCATATTTACTTTAGGGATAGTCTTCTCAAGAGCAAATTGTTCCGTAAGTAAATATTTGTGTTCATTTATGATTAAAAACAAATAGGATATAAATTAAAACAAGAAAAAAAAAAGATCTAGTGACTGCACGCTAACACGTTTCAGTACTTTTATTACTTTTTTTATTTAAATTTTATTAATAAGCATGAAATAAAGACATGTTTGTTTAATATGAATTAATTATTATGTGTCGACATCTAGATGTCTAATGTGGAACTTCGAAATTATAATTGTCAGCGCCATCTGCCAAAATGTTTATAAACTATTAATGAAGTGTCTTTGAGAAATAGTCTGTTTTCACCTTCAGTCAGTAGATGTCACTGATATATCATTTTTTCTATAATTAGAAGAATATAATTATAAGAATATAACCAAACTCAATAAAACATTTTATTATATGTATGTATTAAATTAGTATTAATCTCTGTAAATATTTTATCCTAATTATGTGTTATCTAGTGAAAATTTGCTTCAAGCAATCACCTTTATATATAATACTTACTTCCTACATTATATTAGTAATCCGGCGAATCTTAAGCATATTTCTTAAACTTTGCCTGTCACGTAGTTAATCTCCGGAGTCTCCATGGTAACATTACTTATACAGTATAAACCTTCCTCATACATTCCCAGGGTGCGTTAAGCGGCTGCCTCTTAAGTTTGCTACTCTGTGGCTGGCTTCTCGTGGGGGCTGAAAATGCTTTAGCCACGGGGGCATTAACCTTTCAGGGTAAACCGCTAGTAACGTCAGGATGCGGCAAAACTAACTTTACGCATATTCTGAATGTGACAACTATTATTCCTGTAGCGTAAGTATTATGATAATGGAACATTGACTTAATATTTAATATTTATCCCACGATACTGTTGTTAAACTTGAGTTATGTGTCAGGGTTCATATAGTGCTACAATGTTTCACTAAATTGGAACATAAATTGAATACGTGTAGGTAACATGTTATGGATTTTACGTGCTCAAATATTGTTTAAATGAATTTAGGTATCTCATCTAAACAATAATGAACTTGAGTGATTAATATACTTTCATAAATTTTATGAGTATCATGTTTTATTAATATAAATATGGTTATAAAGAATGTTTATTACTTTCACATGTTCTTTATTCACTTGTTATTATACTTAAGAAAATATACTAAAATTATTTGAATGTCATAATACATCTTTTAATTTTATGAGCACTTCATTTACATTCCAAGAGGTCGAAATTGTAATTTAATTAAGGAACCATTATATAAAAATAGGTGACATTTAAAAAAGACGCAAATTTAACTTGAGAAAAATCAATTTAAGAACTTTTAATTAGTAAAGCACTAATCACAAATTAATTTACTTTCAGATTAATGCCAAAGAAGCCGTTGCAGTCATTGTTCCGTATATCTTTTACCTATTGTCCATTCGCTGGAGCTATAACGGTTCTCCTCATTGGAGTGCCCATGAGCTATCTCACAGGAAAATCAAAAACCGATTCAATGAACCCAGACGTCTTTTGTCCTCTCACACAAAGCTTTTTACACAGACTTCCAGATAGAAGTAATTCAGTCTCCTTGGAACTTCGACCAGCTAATACCCAGGAAGTCTACATGGCTTTGGACGAAGCTTTGAAACATTTGAAAGAAGTTATAGATAAGAAATAAATTAATTAAAAATATATCGTCAATTTTGATTGCTTAGTTTATAAATATATGATTTAATTTAAAATGCAAATCGACGTGACGTCGCAAAAATTTTAATGATTGAACATAAAATGATGATTATTTAAAATCAAATTGTTGCTATATTAAAATTTATATAACACAAATGAAATACAATACAGGATGCCTATGTAATTCTTCTAGATTATCGAGAATAGTGTTTTCAATATAAAAGTTTGATACTACAGAATTAAGGTTTAGACTGTACTGAGTCCGATTAAATATTCTTATTTATATACAATTTTGTATGATACATAACACATTCGTAAGACATTTACGAGGCCATATAATGGAGCGATTACACCTTTGACTTCATCTCCCTAAAGAATGCGATTTCACGGCTCCATACCTTACAAATTTATAAGTCATCCTCCATTATTCATGTGACGTAACGATGATATATTAGGTGTCATTAAGTCTACCTGATCCGAATTCCTTGCCTCATAAACATTACCATTCGTCATTTTTCGCTCCGATCAACCCGGAGCTAATCCCCGTAAGTAATTTGATTGATGGTATGGATTCATTTATAGACGCGAAAATGAAATAATTCACACATCTCCATTATCTTATCACTCAATGAATATGTTTATTTTTATATGTATTTGACTGATTATTATTTATAAATGCAAGTCATTTATCAATAAATATAATATTGCTTATTCATATTTATGTCATACTGTGAGATAAAATCTTTGTTAAATATTTTTTATATTCTTTGATTCGAGAAAACAAAGCGAACTCCGCTTTGTCGCTCCAGACGACGATGAAAGGACCAGCACTTACAAGTGCGTGCTAGATTTTAGGCGCGCTACATTAATTCCTAGATCGCAGCCTGCCGTCTCGAGTACTCGGCTCGGAACCAAAATATCCTTATATAAAATAGCGTTCAATAATCAACCATGTAGTTAAGAAAATAAAGATTATAATACTTTGAACGAAAGAATTCTTTTTTACTATCAGATTCTTGCCGGAATGAGGAAACGATTTGAATCGCAAAGGAAAACTATTCAAATGGTAATGAAGAGAAAATTGGTTGTATTTTAAATTTCTTAAGCTTGATATTTTTTAAACAGATGAAGTTGAATCATAGTAACATGATATTAAACATGAGTTTGTTATATTTTACAAATGACGAGGCTATAAAATACTATTCCGAAACTTGTACCGTCTTCGCAAGGGTCACTATATTCACATAAAATTAAATTTATTTTGTATGAACCCAACATTTTATCGGTAGATATATGTAGGTACATATATGTATTGGATTAATCTCTGCCGGATCTTATCTTAATGTGTTCAACGACTATGGCATGACCAACAAATTTTCATCAAATTTTGGTTTTGATTGAATACGATTACTTACGTAAATAAATGTAATTTAATTACCCTTCTATAAAGAATTTTTTATACAAAATATTTTCTGTAATTTACAATATACCAGACGATTGTAACTTACTTGCTACTATTTATACTCCATCAAGATACTGACAATAGCACTCATTTGACGAGTTAGGTTCCCATCACAATCCCAGGATCGAAGTGGCGAGACACATACGTCATGAAGCTATGGAATTAATGTCCCCTAAGTATGCGTTTCCATTGCTCTCGAGGTAACTATTACTTATTACAATCTACATTACAATTTAGCCAGGAACTAATGTGATCCAATATACATTAAGAAGACATTGAGAGTGATAAATTATATCTCGTATTTTATTATGCAACGCATTTACTTAATAGAAATTAAATATTTTTTTCCATAACAATTTATTGATGTACCTAAATACACTAAGAGTTGCAAGATTGACTTTCTATTCGCAAAAGACAAAAGGTAAACTATGCAATTGGCTGTGGAAATTCTTCTTCCTTTTTCACTTACTATCGTTTCATATAATGTGAACATTCCCAGGACGATGCGCTTTGTAGTTAAGGGTAACCACAATGGTAATTGCAGTTTAAATTGTATGAAATATGTCTGGTCATCCAATTATTAAGTTTGGTAATGTCCATTGCATTCATTTCTGAACCAATTTCGTCAACGTAAAACTATGTCAGAATAAATATTTGATTTGTTTCATGATTTATAAGACAATGAACAAAGAGCAGTGCATATGGTGTACCTCCAAGAGTTATTTTAATATTGTTTATATTAAATGAAAAAGCAAAGGAAACGAACAATGGAATAGGGCTAAGTCATCTACGGAAATTAAATTGTAATGGCAACTTCACGCCGATTCCGTGTGGTCAATGTTGCTTAAACAATCGAAGCAGTCTTTATGAAAATTGAAATATAGTAATGATATATTCCACTAGTTATAAATTATAAAATAAACAAGTATTTGTATATATAAACATTTATTATTTATTTGAGTTGTAATAAAAAATATTTATCTATCAATATATTTTAATCAAATATGTATTTTAAACGATATTTTTATGATCATTTTGTTTATTTTTCTCCACATATTTTGCATATTTATAAATTTCATATTATCTTTTAACATGTGAAATCAACTCATTCATTACTTCTTTCATTAAGTTTACAGATAATAATCATTGTCTTAAGTGTTCATAAACAATTTCAGTGTCAATAAATATAAATTTTAGTCATTAGTCTTTTAGTCTAGTCAGATAATTTAAATACAGTAGCCTGTCATTTATGGCCAAATTATTATTTATTTAGTAGTTTCATGAAAAAATCTTTGAAGCAAACATTAGTTGTGCAAAAGACATCAGGATTGAACGTCAAATAAGGCAACATCACGTTACTGTCACGGAAATGTCACTCCCTTTCAATTACAGCTAACATTAATTCAATAAACATAGTGTCATTTCTCATACTGATCTATTTCAGTTAAACGCTCGTACTAACTCAGCCAATAATTATGCTCAAGAATTTGATATCCCGATGCACATAAACATAGAATATTAAGTTGTAATTTTTACAGGTACACTTTTTAATGAAATTATGGTTTTCGGATACATTAAGCAAATGTCGGTATTATATGTTACCCAAAGTTTCCGTCTTTACAGTAATATATGAAAATTAAGTAAAACAACGAGAGTATGTTAAAAATCATGATTCAATATTTATATCTTGTAAAATTACAATCAAAATTCCACTCGAATTATGAAACTTCCTCCAAACTTTATGATCATTATTATAACTTAAAATGTAACGTGAGAAATTTAATTACACACACGTACACAAATACACGGAAACTTTTTCAATCTTACTTCTCAAGTGTGTTTGACACTTTGATAGACGATTCTCACAAGCACTGATCGCTCGCTGTATACTTGCGATTCGAATTCTTATGAAGAGTGTGAAAGCTTTATAATCAATAACAACGTACTTCAATTATGGTATGTTGAAGTTAATATAAATTAAAATTCAGCTTGAAAATAAGTCTTAATGAAAATAGTTCTTAAGTCAGTGGTGGCCTAGTGGTTAAAAGGCCGGCCTCTCATGCATGAGGACACGGCTTCGATCCTGGCCCTGGCAACTACCAATGTGATTTTTCCGAGTCATATGTACTTTCTAAGTGTATTTAGACATCACTGATTAATGTATTCCCAAAAGGGGGTTGATGTCAGGCAGGCGGGTCTTTCGTAAAAAAATTAGCCAAAACTATTCACAACATGTAAGGCAGACCCAGACTAAAGCTGGGAAATTGCCAGGTAGAAGAAGATGAACAGAAATCTTCTGCATTTTGCGGTCTAGTTTCTTTTGCGAATCAAGCAACTGTGATTCGACTGAAATCAGTGATTTAAGCATTCTCCATATGTTGTATTGAGACAGAGATGTTATCTATTAGACTTCGCAGTATACGATAAACATTGTAAAGATGCCACTATTGATATTAAATTGGATAGTAAAATAACTTGAACGTGATATTCTGAAGGTTACAGTTTCAATGAATTTCTACATAAATATTACTTCATGATTAGTCTTTTAATTTATTTGACAAAATTATAATTTATTTACATGAACAACTTTTATATTTGATAGGTAAAAGGTAAATAAATAAATAATAAATCCTTTCAAGAAATATTTAAACTTTTAATTTGTTATATTATATGATTATCAAAAAGTTTCGGTTCAAAATTAGTTTAAAATCCTTATTTCCTTTTTCAAAACGGAATTGTTAGGATGAATGTTTTTGAGTTTTTCTTTGGTGACATTGAATTGATTCCTTGAAGTTAAATTTATATAGTCGTTCTTTTAATTATTCTTATTCAGTTTTTTTAATTATTCATGTTTATTTCGAGGCCATAAAATTTTTTAAACATAAATTTATTCATTGTTCTCTTCCAAATTTAATTTCTTCTAAAAATGTTAATAAAATCAACACCAAATTTGAACGTGAAAACAAGGAAATTACTTGTTCAATTTAATCAAATTTACTAACTTGTAAGCGAGTAATCTTGATTTCTGAACAAGCTTACGCCTACTTTGACTTGATGTTTGTGTATAAAATTAAGGCATCAGTATAAGACATAAAGTTAGTTGATAAGGGAGAAGTTTGCTCGAGACAAAGTTTGCACATTTTTGCCAGATTATATATAAGTCGAATATGAGAGTTATGTTGTGTTTGCCTTATTTGTAAATAAGTTATAATTGGTGAGGGAATTATGAAAATAAATAAAATATTAAATATAAATTGTTACCCAAATCATTAATAGTCGGAAAATTAACTTAAAGTACGAATATAATTTAGATTACTTAATTTTTTATACATTTTAAGTTCCATTTATATTAGTTAACATAATGAAATAAATAACAGGATTTAGATTATATAGAAAGTCCTAAGCATCATAGAAAATATCTCCAGTCCAAAACAAATTATACGTATTTTTAAGACAGATAGTATTTATAGAACTATGCTATTGTATGTAAGTGGACCTTTAACGATACACTCCACTGAAAAATCACTAGTCGGAAACTAATGGAAGAATAAAAGTAAAATGGAAAATTGTATATGAAAGGAGTTTTAAAAGACATACATAACATAGAAAGATTTATGTCGGTGTAAATGCAGTCTAATTAAGGGTACATTACAAGACAATAGCATTAAGGAACACCAGCTGACGATAACGCAATCGAGAAAGTTAAATCGTATCTCTTGAATTAGCTCATTACTGAGAGATTTAGAATGTGGATCCTATTTACAAGCCATTCTACTGTGGATTAACTACGGATTTGGGATTATTTCGCTTGTTCAATCGCGAATAAGACTGAAATTTATTTTATGGATCCAGTATTATATGTATACCATTGTTTTATAATGGTGTTCCGTATCAAAACGGCTCTCTTTGTTCCTATATTACGAGTAATTGCTTCAAAAACAATGTCTTAAATTTATATTTCTTGAAAAAAAAATATCTAAAATCAAATTAATTGCGTTCTTACAAAGATTTTTTACACTTTTTTTTTGAAAGATAATATTGATTTGTGAGTAACAGAAAAATATTGAAAAATGCGAAAATACTTAATGTTGTAAAACAGTTATTAAGATTATTTCTCGTGGCAACAAATCCTTCTTACCATATAAGTCCTCTTCTATGTAATTTCATGTTTAGGGTAACGAAAAGTAAGAATTTTAGCATATGCTTGTAGGAAAAGTGAGGGGGAAAAAGGGCCGGTAAATGCTAGAGAGTAGGGTGTTAGATTTCCGGCTTGGCTTGACTAGCGGTAATAGTGGTAGCCCTTCAATGCTTTGAATAAAATATGCTTTACATATAAAGTTATTTATCGTCTCTTGTATTTATTTGAAGGGTGAAAAACACCTTTATTCAGCTGTCATTATAGCCACATATTTAGTCTTGGACATCAAATATTTGTATGTTTTCATTGAGTTTTGATTAAATGATAAGGATTTTCTTATCACTTCTTAGGAGTCCTTCATGCATTATTGGCCAGTAACTGTGTAATGGGTTATTGACCCCAATTTTATGGTTGATATTTTATCATTTAAATTTGTCTTATCAGAATCGGCTAGCACTGAAAATACTTAGGTTAATGTTCCAGTATCTAGAATATTATGTAATATAAGAATTAGATTAGAAAAATTATATACTGTGTATGTAGACAGACCCTGGCTAAAAGCTAGGAAATTGCCAGGTAGAAGATTTAATGTATATTAAATATTAAAGAGTAAATAGAAGAAACATAGTTTTTACCGTCAGTAACCAGAATTGCTACAGGAAAATATTAAAACTAATTTCACACGAAAAGAGAAAAAAATCTCATTTCTTTTACGACAGAACATTACCAGTTACTGCTAAAATGACTAAGACAGTTATCTATAATATGAATTTTTATTGGCCCTAAAATTACTTTGTTTCTTTAAATGAATTTGCTACACTATTTATAGTTTTTGTGTAAACATTTACAAAGTAACATACATAAATGTCGAATTTTTATATACTTGAGCACGTGATATTTGACGATCATATATGACAAAATAAAAATTAATATAACATAAATATTAATAAACTTCTAAGTAAAGTTAACCAAAAGTTATGTAATTAATTACGCATCGTGTGAACACCCTACAGATTAGGTATACACACACACTCACGTGGTGTTGTATCAGCACGCCGCTGCACGCGTCCTCACTTGGAACACTTGGAACGTGTCAACACTTTATTTATTTATAAGGAAATTTTGTCAAAAATTAAGTGCCTATTTTTTTTACATAATTCGAATGAGAATCATGTAATGAGTATTCTCCTAAAATATTGATAGTAATTCACCAGTCACCCTGTATATATAAAATATATAAATATATATATGATTATCTCATGGAGGTCATTTATATCTATTGGGTTGACAATGGTTACCGGTTTCTTTATACTCGTATCACTTTAATTTATCAACATTAAAATTCCGACAGTACATTCAGTACTCTGTTAGATTCCGGCGCGTGCGCTTGTCTCAATATAAAGTGAAATTTAACAAAATAATTTAAAAAAAGGCAGCTGTTACGTATCTAAAAATGGAGTGGGGTATGACAGCTGATGGTACGTTTAAAATTCACTGATAACATATGTCATTGATAGTAATAAGTTACCCGTATGATAATGTGATAAGTGACCTGTTATCACACAAATTGTTAGAAGTCTATTTATAATCAATTCTATTTGACCCATTGAATTTGTGTCACCTATAGTTTCGTTTTCATATAGATATTTTATACCAAACCCTACTATTATTATTTATTTCTCAACATTAAACATAGCTCCAAAGAGAAAAATATTAAAATAGGGAAGTTTTCAATTACGTTGATATGCATTTTATGAAATATATGATAGCTTAACGACCAACATATATGTATGCATTTTATTTATGTTTGATAAAAGATAAGATTTCATTATTAAGTTGGGCACTATCAACTGCTTTCACTTTAACATATAGATTATAGATAATAAAGAAGTGTTTAGCATTTGATAATACTTTTGTACTTATTTAGGGATTATTATTTATCGAAAATTTTAAATTGAAACAACTTTTTAAATTACTAAAATCTAGTTTTTACTTATCTTTTAAATATATTCAGTTCGTTAGCATAAAATTCAAAAGAAGCTAGTTTTCTGTTATTTGGCTATCACATAAATTAGACTTGAGTTATCAAATTTTTGGTACATATTTTTTAAGATCATTATGACTGTATATTTATAAAAATTATAAACTCAATGTGTTTGTTACGCTATCACTTAAACAACATAACAATATTTCACAGTCGATAATATAAACTAGTAAAATAGAGCAGATGCAAGACATTTGTTGAGTATTTATCAAGAATCTTGATTGTATTAAAAATAATTTAAATTTGTCTAAATATATTAAATAGTCCTTCATTCAACTTAATATTCATTCTTCATATTGAGACAAAGATATTATAAATTCAAAAATTTGATAACCTCATACGTGGTACAAAGAATGTCTGTCTGATACAAGAATATTATTATAGCAAAAGTACAAGTCATCGAAAAACAGTTTATCCTTGAATTCGTGACTAAAATAATAAAACGAATATGTTTTTTTGAGTTGCTTCGTTTATTCAACGACAACAGGTTTGTATAGTTTGATCATTGAATTTTTTGTCTTAATTTCAACTATAATCTATATGTATTGTATGCACTTAAAAATAAATTATTCATTAAATAAATTGAAATAAATTAAAATCATAATGAATAAAGTAAGAAAATAATATAATAATCAAATTGAGTTTGTTACTTTTCTTCTGCAAGTAAGGTGAAACAAGCAATTATAACATCCCACAAGCCAGTAATCTAATTAAATGCTTGTTAGTAGATTGTGTATCTTAGAATTTCTCCCTAAATATGCCGGTTTTCTGTCAGCATTTTTCTTCATCTATCCGATTTTTAATATCAGTTCAAAAGCTATAAAGTCATATTTACAAATTTATGTTTGCCCAGGTGTCGAAAATACAAAAAATATTATATTACTACGAGTACATACATCGCGAAAAAGTCAGACAAAAAATTATCATTATGTTCTATTTTATCATTGATGGGTGATGAGTTTATATATTATATTAAGGTATACCTTATATTATCACCTAAAAGAAAAATTAATAATATGTATTAATAATTAATTTATGTTTCTAGGAAAATACAGAATAGAATCTTTGTCGTCAAAAACATTTCCGGGTGCATTAGAAGTGAGTTGATTTTTTCAGATTTACTTCTAGCTATAGCTATTTAGCATGAATAGCTTCATCTTTTAATAATTTTATAATAATTAAAAATTAAATTAAATTATTAACAGGTTATTCGGATTGCTTTTTGTCAAGATGAATACGTATCGATAGGAAGTGAAGTAAATAAAAATCCTAAGGCTGCTGAAGAATTGCTTGAGCTATGTGCTGATGCAGCTCTTGATGGCGTCTCTTTGGTAGCAGTAGCTGTTGAAACTGGAGAAGTTGCTGCTGCTGCTTTTAATAAGATTCAGGTTAGCATAAAATTGATATAAAATCTTACAGATAACTTCATATTTATAAGTACAGTTTGAAGACGAATAATCGAGTTAATGCTTAAAGAAAAAACAAAAGACAATATTTATATTTTTTAGAACAACAACATTAATCTTACAGTCTATACTTAGACTCTTTACAGTCTCTTTACTCTTTACAGTCTATACTTAGTTTCTTAAATTCATATAACTATAGTTTTGACTAAATCTTTATCTTGATGGCCGTCGATGAAAATGTACTTCGTCAGACACTGCTTAAATGACATTCATCAGTTATTTAAAAAAGAATATGGAGAATATAAAAGATAAAGTTATTAACGTTGAAGACTATGAATTTCAATAATTTGAAAATCAGAGAGAGTAAAATTCATGTCAGAATAAAAATTTTACCACGTCTCATCAAAATTCCTTCAATAAAGTTTTTAAAGTTTAAGAGATTTCGTTTTTATCACTTTTATCTACCTGAAAAAATTATATTAATTATCAACACATTTACCGTTAATTTTTTTACTAAGTCTGAATTATAGATTTTCACTCTTTGTTTGGGTATTTTTTGATGTCATTTTCTAAATAATACTTATCATTTTCAGGTTAAAGCAAATGACGAATCTGAGAAACCATTTTTCGTTATTTTTTCTGAAGAGCGATGCACTCAAGCCTCGTCCCGATCGCTCGTAGAATTTATGGCCGACGTTGATGAGAGATGCAATTTATTTGAAAAGTGAGGAGTGCTTAAATTTAAAAATAAAAAGACGTGAAAAATGTGCAGCGTTGCATATTAAATTTGGATCTGATATGTTTGGTTTTAAAGATACTAAATTTCTATTCAATTTTTTTATTAAATCGATTCAATATTTAATGAATTGCCATTACCTTCTAATATTGTAATTGTAATTATTTTATGTTTTTACTAAAGAAGCGAATAATTTTTAATATTAAAACTATATATTTTTCCTCTCAGATACAAAGTTGACTGCAGTCTCGAGATTATGTTTTTGGCTACATTACGAAATCACAGAGGACAAGGCATAGGAAAACTCCTTACAAAATATTCCATAGAAGTTGCCAGGAAATTTAAATACGGTCCAATTGCACCATTGTATGTAAAAGATCTGGGACCAAAATATTCCAATTTAACTTCTCGCAAACCTATAAATACATATCCCAAGATTTGTCAAGCTATCTGGACTGGAAGAGCTTCACAGAATGTTGGAAAAGCTCAGAGTTTTACTGTGCACTTGACAGTACCTTATTCGGAATTTGTTTTCAATGGCAAAACTTACGCCGAGCGCATCGGAGACGATTCTGCATTTTGCGAAGTAGCAGCCCTATCTCTATAAGAAGTTGTAAATTACGGAAGATTTAGAGCAGAGATAAAATAGCTAGCATAAATTTTAAGGAACGCTGTTTTAATTACATTTACTGGCGGAAAATAGATAATATACGTCTCAGAGAACATTATTATGAGTTAATATCAAAAAGTTTGAAATTTTGATGTGTATTTAAAATAATTATTATATATCAAATTGGATTCATTTCTGTTTAGATACTAAAATAGATAAAGTTTATGTCATAACAAGAAGTACATATATAAAGAAAAGAAAAATACATATCTATGAAATAAACATATTCAATATTTTTTTAATTTATGAACCCAATAGAATGAGAACAAATATAAAAATATGAATATAAAACAGTTAATAGTAAGTTAAATTTTGTACAATCTTATATTATAACAGTTTAAATTAAATCCATAAAATACTTGTTAGTTCTTGATAAGTCGTAACAATATAAAATTTGTAGTAAAAAATACATTTATTTTTATTTTAATACATATTTTGTTGGGATCTGTACACCTTAAATCAGTTTCAAGCATTTTAACTCTTCCTATAATCTTGTAGAATTTAAAATCTTAATTATTAAACGTAAGAAAATTTGCTAAAATAAAAATAAACGATTTTTAAATAGGTTACTAGAACTTTTTAGTTGTATTTAATTTTATGTTATAATAATATATTTCTGAATATATGTAGAGTATTACCCGAAGAGGTATCCGAATAATACATAATTTTACCCAACAAGTCGAGCAATTTGTTCCAAGTTAATTGATTTGGAGCCTACTAGCTACGTTGACCTACCCTCGCTAGCGATTACTCCATTATTCATTCATTGTCACGCCGGACATCGAGATGCAAAGAGGTCGGAATTGAATTCCGTATCAATTTTATTTAAAAAAAATGTTTTAAGCGTTAAAATAAAAATCACCAGTCACGGCCATTGCGATAGGTTTTCCTTATATTTTGAACATTTAAATTCAAAAACAATAAAATTTTGGTCTTTAACATGATTAGCAAAGGAGAAAACTATTGCCATTGTCAATTAATAACATTACTACAAGTAATTATTTCGTCCCGAAAACGTGACTTAGTTTCAATCTGATCTTGATTGATTTCAAATTTTCATTAAACATCTGTTAGAAGTGATGGTAAAAGCACTTTTATTTATAAATACATATAATATACGTCAGTTAGGTACAGTGGTGGCTCAGTGGTTAAAGGGCCCGCCTCTCGTCGCCGAGGGCGCGGGTTCGATCCTGGCCCGGGCAAGTACCAATGTGATTTTTTCCAATCATATGTACTTTCTAAGAGTATTTAGACATCACTGATTAATGTTGATTCCCAAAAGAGGGTTGATGTCAGGCAGGCGGGCCGGTCGTAAAAACAAATAGCCAAAAACTTTTCACAACATGTAAGGCAGACCCTGGCTACAGCTGGGAAAATTGCCAGGTAGAAGAGAAGACATATAATATACGTCACGTACATATCATATATTAGTAATGTATACATATATGTATATTGGAAGAACAATAAACTACAGCCATGTGGAACAAACGACATGATATCGATGATTTTTTGGCCGGATTGTAAATGACCGTACTATATAAGAATGTAAAGGGTTTGAAAGCGATCCAGGGGTGCCTTTTTGGAGGCACAAAAGGCATTGTTTAGGGTTATTGCCTTTATCGAATAGGTGTTATCGCTTCCTAAAAATGAAGGTTTTTTTCGTAGTAAAAGAAAATAAGTGCAGTGTAAAAGGTTTTCCATGGTATATATTAAATAAACATGATTAGTTAGCTTCACTATTTAATCGTTTTATGAAAGCTTAAATCGGCTATCTCTTATAGTTTTTATATATTGTTTTTGTTTATTCACTATAATCGCAGACTTTTTCTTATTTTTCTCTCCGATATTTTCATGACCTTTGATGTACAGCGAACCATTCTTAACAATTGTTTAAACATACAAATATAAAGAAAGCACGACGATATTTTCTTATAAAGTACTATATTTCTAACAATTGATAATAACATTAAAGTTTCTTCACAGCTTTATTCACTGTAGCGAAAGTAACTCAGAAAAAATAAAGTTTTTAAGTCACATTTTTTCTTATTCTTATCTTTAATGTATTTCTATAACAATAAGCTACTTTTCTGTGGAATTATATAATGAAACAGCACTTGTTCTTTAATAAAAGAAATCAAAATAATAATTCTTTATTTCGATAATCTATATGTTCTCATAAAACTATTGGAGTGATATACAACGTAATTAATGTAATGCAATTTACATTTATAAATTTTAAATATTCACTTTAGAGGAGTCGCACGAATGGTAACGACGTTAATGCCTTTTGAATATCTTTTCGACCCTTTTAAGTCCCTTCATTATCTTAAAAGCAATCTCTGGTCTACATTTCCGAACGGTATAACGATTTGAGTTTCCGAATAGTTACATATTTAAATATTGTGATTTTCTTCTTCCTTATTGATGAACGTCTCACTATAATATCTGTTTTTGTTTTTTTATAAAAATATTTGAAAGTGATATCATATTTTGTCTATAATTGAAACAGTAATAAAATTTTGATTACTGAAATAAAAAAAAGTTAAATAGAGAATTATAATATTTTTCAGATACTACTTATAGCAATATTCCCTAAGGAAAGGTTTCATTGACACTTGAATTTTTTTCTATCGGTTATAAGAGTATCATTAAAGCAGTATGATTTAAACCTAGATTCTCAATCATTAGGTGAGTAAAGGTAAAAATAAATGTATGTGTCTCACAAAGATTTCAGCTCCTCATAAATAATTAAAAGCGACGGTTATATTGCAAATTATAACGGCTCAAAGGATCTTGATAGGCGTTTAAGTAAAAATTTTTTATTTATCTAAGAGACTGCAAAGCTCGCGAGCTGTAAACAAAAGAAAAGTCTTTATTATAGTACAGACTACGAATAATTCTTGTTAACACTTAAGACTATTTACATAAATTGTATGAATCTAGTATTATTGGGTCTGTTTGATTTCTTTTATTTGAAAATACGAATTAAATAATATTTTACATTACAAGTATAAGCTAAATTCTTTCAAACATAACACACGTTACTCATATCATTTCACATTCGAGACCTTATTATACTTATACTTTTTATAAATAATACAATATTTTAAATATTTTTCACGTTCTTATTTAGTCTTTTTAGCTTATGTCTTAAATACCTCTAATTATAATCAGAACTTCCACAAAGAAAATTAGGGAAATGTGATCTCAGATATAATTTGATACTTAACACCTTTTTTTACGTTATTAATCATTTCATTTGCAGAGCCATCAGCTTAGCCACCTGTGCAAGAGCAGTCACAAAAATTAGTATTGGTTGTTATAAATAGAGGCAAAGAACAAGTAGAGTCTCGCCCGAACTGCTGCAGCGATCGTACGTCTTATAAATAAAGGATTCATTAAACCGTTTTCGAGATAACGTTCAACAGCCTAATACCCTGACGACAATTAAGACCAAAGGCACTGGTGACGTCAGTTATGCTGACGTCACTTGTTCTAAATACGACATATACATTATACAATATAGTAAAATAAATATTTTAAATCAAAGAACATTGTTTTGATAATTAATGTCTGTTAAGTTGTATGATATATTTGACGATAAATTTTAAAGTCATTTTACTAAATTTGCGATATCGGGTTAACGTTCCAAGTAGTGAGAGAATCTATTTATAGATTTAATAACTCATTAATGTACAATTTTTAGAAACTGATTGAAAATATTGATAAATGAAAAAAAGTAGATCGTATATACGATTCCATTGGGCCATTTATAGCAAGTTGAAAGTCATTAATTTACTACAGCCAGACTTTAATATTCCCAGGATTACATCATTTTTCAATTTCTTGGCTTCCTTCAATTTTAAAGCCATTTTAATGAAATTGTCCATTCACTTCGATAGGTTCTGTTAGTTTTTATTGTTGTCATATTACTTTATACAATAAGCATAATAAAAATGGTGGTGGAAAATAAAATATTCATATGAGTTTCATAATTTAAACTACAACTATTTATAAAAAGTTTTATTTTAAAAAATTTATACATTTCTTTCGGTTAATACATTCTTATATCTCTCATCTGAAAAAAAATAAAGATATTTCTTTTGCTTGTGATTTAATTCTGAATCTAATATGGCGGCAATAAGCTGTTATGCTTTATTGTGCAATTCCATGAAATACAAATTAAAAGATCGGTGAGGTAGGTAATGATTAATTAATAAGTAATTGAACCCAATTAATGCGAGGTGAAAAAGTAAAAAAATGTTAAATGGGAAGGAAAAATGCTGGACCCTTTTTAATTGAGTTTTGTTTCCAGGTCTGTTAAAATAGAGTTGTTTTTCTTCTTTACCATAATGATAATTCACAGTTTTTTGCTTATATTGCATATTTCTACACAGTAAATAAAGTTTAACAGTAAAAGCTAATTAATTTCGAAGTTCAAATTTAGTTTTAAAATATGCCAAACCTCATCCTTAACTAGTTTAATTTTGTCAGCAAATATTGAATCTTCAAATATTTGATTGACCTAATTTCACATTCCTGATTGGATGTTTTATTGTTAAATTAACAACTTATAACATAACTTTAATAGAATATCAAATTATGTTTTATTGAAATAGACGTATTTACTGAAATATAATCTTTATTAATATCATTCCAGAAATTGTTTTAATTTAATAGTTAAAATTTTTTGTTAGGCTACTTGTTATGTAACATACATATTCATTATGCACTCATATATAAAAAAAAATTAGATTTTCTTTAAATAATATGTTTCCTTATGTAGGAGATGAAGCAAGAAGAACAAATAGTTAGTCTGATGTTAAGTGGCTACCATCTTTCGTAGCCATAAATAACATAAGAGAAATTTCACTTTTTGTTTCAGACACATTTGCTCATTCTACTTTTGAAAGAGGAAACTTTACTTTTTAGGGAAAGCTCAGGAAAGAGATCGTTCTACATTCTACGCTTACGCTAAAAAGAATGCTCTACGCCAGTATAATTAAACAACCAAACGGTTGAAATATTGTGGAGAAGAATTAACTCTATAGCGAAGGTAGTAAGCAGTGGAACTATATTTAATCATAACTTCAAACATTCTTTCTGACTTGAATTAGTACCTAAGGAATGAACCCTCCTTCCTATAAATCTTCAGGTTTTAAGGCTCCGACTCTGCTTTGAAACAGATTCATATTGCCAATCATTATATTTGATTTCAGGATTTTCTTGTGCTAATTATAAATAATATAATATATACTATCATTTTTCTATCATCTCATAAGCCTTTTAAGACTCGCTTTATGAACACAAAGACATGGAGCTCATATTAAGAAGTTCTCTTTGGAAACTAAAAGCCAGTGTCCCTCTGCGAAGACCTGTCTTACCCTTCTCAATGCCATAGTTGTTAAGAAGGTATTAGAGCTATATTTTCAAAATGGAGGCGATACTAAAGCTCTTTATTGATACTGAGCCCTCAGATCCTTCAATTTTTACTGATATGGTATGATACATGGAAATTTTATTCTCACTTCGTACATACATTTCGTTCTGGTCTCTTCTATTTAACTGTAAAGATAAGTGCTTAGCCAGCCTAGGAGGCATTGACTGTTTCTAAAGTTATCGTCTTAAATACTAAATTAAAGCTTAGTTTAACTTTAAACGGAATTATTAACAAAAATAAACAATAATTTAATTGCATTTATTATAAAACAACACCACGTTGTCTGTTAAAGACACGTGGTTGCAAAAAAACTAAAGTTTTTTTTTACATTTTAATGTTTTTTCAAGTCAAACATAAACAAAGAGTTGTTAAAAGATGAATCTTATTACACTGCTTGTAATATAATACAATATAATTATACTAAAATATTTATTAATTTTATTCTCAGAATAAAATTGCATATTTTATATAAGTCCCTAATTTCCAAGAATATTTAACTTCAAAAGTATAAACATAGCAACCAATTACATAAATAAATTAGGTTCTTTTCTAAAATCTCAAAAGCAATACATCTGAGAGCTTGTGAATACTTCAATGGAATAATAATAATTGGTTAAGGTGAAATACGATAAGGGTTTAGGCCTTTGAGAAGTCGGTTTTTGGAGGACTGTGAAAGTTATTCAATTAAATATTTTTCGTATAAATAAATATTTCGTTCTTTATAATTTCGTACATATGCCAGAAAACATTGCGCTTCAACACAATGGTGTTTTTTGCTTTGAGTACCACGCCGTGTTTGTAATTCTAATTCTTTTATGTTTTAGTGTTTCTTAAAATTCAATCAAATTATTTTTTATAGGAATCATTTGTTTTTATTTTTTGAAAGAAACATATTTATATTATATTTTTCCTTTTTTACTTATTAGTTTTCCCGTTTCTGTACCAGTAATATTTATATATAGACGAGTACTTATACTAATAAGATGATATACATAAAAGTTACTTTCACATTTTATGGGATAACAAACGTATTATTAGTTCTAGTAGTTGTCATTGCACTCCGGTGGTTTAAATAGTATCGATATAATCAATCACTTCTTAAAATTGTTATATCCATAACACCAGTTTCTTATATGTATCAAGAGGTTCAAAATTTTTTTTTCGAGCATATTTCAGAGTAGACTTTGGTCATAACCCAGTTATACAGAATTCTATACATCATCGGCACAGATCAAAATTTTGACGCTATTGCAAGAGTCCCAAAAAATATCTGTCTCTTAAATATTTTTACGCAATATTTCAGAACATTGCACAGAATGTTAGAAAAAAGGAGTGTGCAAGATTTAATTTCTTTATACTTTTTTTGCGGAATCCATATCTTAGTTGCATATCCTTTTCGCACTTAGGCGAAGCGACACGCTGTCTCTTTCCTTTTATTAGATAATATTCGATCCTTTAGCAAATATTACATATTAATATGGAATGTGATGAGAGCTCTTCCAGGAGTTCATCACAGAGGTTAACATGTAGTAGATTTAATAACTAAAATATAAAAGCAAAAGGTTGAAACTGAATTTTCGTTGTAAATATTTATAATTATTAATATGATTTTACAGTACATAACCACTTATAGTAAATGGTCCTCAAAATCATTTTACGTCGATGGAACATAACAAATTATAATATAGTACAAATCAAAAATATGAAAATGAAAAAATAATAATTATATGAAAATATAAATATAATAATAAAAATAATATGAACTTAATACCACCAATAACTTTAAATGGTTTAAAATAGATTTTATCTAAAATTATAGTTGCTCATGCTATTTTATTTATTTATCATATTATTCACATGTACTCATCATTTATTGTTATTCAGGTGTTGTCGTTTAATTAAAGTTTATAATTACAAGAAGAATAATAACATCAATAAAGACGTAGTCATAATTTTTTAGTCATATACCTAAATAGGTAGTCTTAGATGAGTCTTTCCATAAAATCAAAGGATATACTCTTTGTCAGTCATTAAATTAATTTAAATTTAACACATTTAGTTATGACTGTGTATCCAACTATGACTGTGTATCGAAGGTCAGTTTAAATAATGATATTTATACTGACCTCGAAATGAATACAAAAAAATAAACGTTACATAATTTTGCAATCACTCAAATATTTACCAAAAACTAAACAAAATCTTTATACTATAACTATAAAACAAACATTATAAATTAAAAGTAAGATACATTTCAATGCGATGGATTATTTAATGAAGCAATGTGGTAGATCACTGTTTAATTGAAGGTAAAGTAAGTAAAAAGACTAAAACTTAAAATTAGAATTCATTATCGCTTATACCTTTCCCATTTTCCTTGCTGCCAATTTAGTAAATTGCTCTCTCTTTGGGATACATTCGCATTTAACCTTGTTCCCAATACCCTAAGATAAAAATAATTAAATAACAATTTTATTTTTAGCTTATAAATTATATATTATGCAATATATGGTGATTAATGACATAGTTAGGTAATATGGAAGTTTCTTATTTAAAATATAAAATTATTTTTATTAGGTAAGTAGTAATTTTGAATGTATGTTATCCCTATAAAATAACCATTTGTTTTAATATTTCTAGTGTGGTCGTACCTAATTACCCATTGGACAAAAATACCTCCTTATCTATAATAGAAAGCTCAATCAGAAATATTACCCAAACAAAACTTATTGGAATTATTATCAATAGAAGAGCAATTCTAGGGCGTCATTTATTTCTATTGAATATTAAGTAAATATTACAACTAAAAGAAGATATTTTTAACCAAAATTGTTTTACAGTTTAATTTACTTAAATATGTTTTCCTGAAAATCAATGATATATTAAAATTTAAGCAACATTCAATTTGTTCTGAATTACATAAAATGATAGTCTTTTCAACGTCGTTTTGTGAATTTATTTATAATATATTCTCATTTTAAATCGAAAATAATATATTTGATGAAAATTGTAGTGGATTAAAGGTGTTACATAATGGATGCATATGATTACAATTAATTTAATTAAATATAAAAAAAATAACAATTTTAAGGACTTGGAGACAATCTGTTCCAACTAAGTCTTTATAGCTTCCACGAACAAGCCATCTTAAGCAATTTCCTTCTCTGACCTAGAGATATGGTTTCTACCTTCCCTCAATCGCGTGCATTAAGTTTCAGGGTGGGTTAGGTTTAATGTATAATCGTATTTAATTTGTTTCAACACATCACCAATACAGAGATTATTATAATTTTACAAACGTTTAATAAAATCACTAATTATATAATTACTATTTCTTCACTTGACTGAGAATAGTAATTAAGAGCGAATAGCTAAAAATTTTAAGACAGTGTATAGGTAAATAAAAAGTAAATTTACCATTTTTTTTTTGATTTGGTGGCTTCTTAAATGAATTGGGTTGCTTTATGCAGTGTCTTAAAAACACTAATACATGCAAACACATACGCAAAAGCTTTCTGTAATCGACATGAGATTTGACGTGAGGTATTTACATGGAAAAACCGCAGCAAGGAACACGGCTTAAAGCATATTGACTGGAAGGCAGGACCAGTAGCGGCCCGTTGATTTTTTTTTGTTTACTTTTGCTAAATTTCACTTTCTGTAACTCACAAAAAATTGTTTTTCTCTTTAGGTTGTGAATTTATTTTTCTTGGACAAGAATTGTTTTAATTTAAATTTATCTACACAAGATAAAAATAAATCTTTTATATCATGAAAGGAAAATTGCCAACTAAAATTAACTATTCGCAGATCGAATTCAACAATGATGGATTAAACTCTAAATGAATAATTAAGGGACACAAGTTATTTTTAATAACCTTAATATTTTTTACTCAAAAAAGTGAAGAAATATAGTATGTAATAGTGAAATAAAGAAATCTTTTGATATAATATTAGGATTTTATGACTTGTTGAGGTCATTAATAAAGTATAAAAAACTCTAACCACGTACTTAACGACGTTTCAAGAATATCGGAAATCCCAGATGTTCTGCTGAAATAGCCGTTATTAGAGATCTTAATAGGAACTTTACTTTATAAATTATTTTTATTTCCCCTGAGGTTTAAATAACTGCTCCTTTTATTATTTCTTATTGTTAAAAGTAGATTGTGTTCTTCATTTTAATAAGGAAAGACGACAAGTAAAAAGAGTATTGAGATATTAAAGGATAGTTTTGATTTGCTGCAGTTTTGTTACGAAAACTTCTAAATTAAATATTTGGGAATAAATTAAAAAACCTTTCTACTTAAAGTTATAAGATTAAAGTACAGTTATGAAATATATGAGTTTAAATTATGTATTTTATTAATAAACATATCCACTTAATTATACTAACCAATTTTTTGTAATTGGTTTAAAAATTCAAATTGATATCTTGAATTTGAAATAATAAAAGAAGCTAGCTATTTTGTATTCCATTTTAAGAATGAAAGTAGTATATTAAGATGATTTTTATTCATCTCCAATTAAAATTCTTACTATATAATACCTGACTATAAAGCTTTGCTGCTAAAGTTAAATGAAGCTGTAAATTATTACTTATTTTTGCCATATAAAAGTCCAGATTGAAAGTGAAGCAAATACAGATTCAGGGAAACTTTTACAATCCCCTGTCCTCATACTTTACACATGTAAAGTATGAGGAAGTACTTCAACGAAAGCTTAGTGACCGGTCGAGTGTTGGGCAAGTTAAGAAGGTCAAGAAATTGATTTTTAAGGTGATGGAGACGATGACAACTCCTACCTTTCACTAAGTGGCACGATAGAGCCAACCTGGCATTCCACACCGTTGACGGGGCAGCCTTTACGTAGTGATCAGACCATTTCATCACCAAGAACCCAAAGCAAATTAAATCCACCCTTAGATCCATGCTTCGGAGAGATTTAACAGATAATATACAGAACTAGATTCCTGGCTAAAGCTGGGAAATTGCCACGAAGAAGAAGAAGATACAGAACTAGATGAATTAATGAAGGCATAAATTTGAGAAATGGATACC